GAACTCAATGATCGTTTGCTGAATAAACTAATTATAGCACTGTATTCATGCCTTGCCCTTCCAAGGAGTTGTCAGAACACTAACTGTACCATTTAGCATCCAGCAATAGAAGTGGGTTTGACATGAGTAGCCCTTCCCATGTCATGCATCTTCACTGACTATATAACCTTTTTGTTATCCATTGGATGACACAAATCTGCACACTAAAACATAAACCCGTGTCAGGCTGTGCACATGTTAAAGGCAATAGCAACATATACGGCATATATTGGGTAAGATCATCATAGAGATTTTCTGGCCCCAAACATCATGCAAACCAAATTGTATCCCGTTTTCTGTTTCAGAACAACTGTAAGAGCATCTCAGTGAGCAGGAAGACCTCCTGTCAATCATAGAGCCCCACCCAGGAGCCTGCTCTTCAGAAATCTCTGCATCTCTAAAAATAGGACAACACATGCATCCCATGTAAAATAATGCGGCATTGTCCAGCAGGGTGGGGTTAATTAGCCAATGCCCAGGGGACAGAACTGAAGGGGCAAATGGGAGCGTGAGCTAACGCTTATTTTCTAGATCACCTCTTACAAACCAGCATCCTGTCCAAAGAGGAACTTGTCCTGTGTAAGGAAATGAGACTTTTAATCCCTAGGTGACCATTAAGCCTCCTTGTCATTTAGTCCTGAACTCGGTGTGCTGCTGCAAAGAGCCCTACCCATTTCCTCGCTCTGCGGTTCAGTCATTAAGTAATTGTTGGGTGTTTCAAAGGCAGGGAAAACAGTCTGAAATCTAGATAAAACAAAACTTCAGACTTGAACATTAGAAAACGATCTCCAGCCTCTGTTCATATGCATTAAAATACCGTTTGCTTCGTCTGTCCACATTCTCCTGCTAGAGTGTTTTTAGAGGAGATCTTCGAGAAAGTTTTTAGTGTTGTGTGTTTGGTGACTGAAAAGCAACTGGAAAATCTCCCTCTGCTGGGGTTGGGGGCAGACGCACTGGTCCGCACACAGGAAGGTGGAGGAGATAGTCTACAGGTACTTGCTTTAGGAGCTCAGTCAGTATGAAGATCTAACTTCTCAATGGAAATGGGCGAGGGAGGAACTTGGTGTCACTCACCTGGTCCTAAGAGGTGCCTCATAGACATGGGTGGTGATGAGCCAGCACACAAGGCCTGAGTGTGCCTCTCCAGAGGAATCACAAGCAACAAGAGCTGGCACTTGGTGAGCAGAGAGTCCCCATAGCCATACAAAGAAAGACCCTGAGAGAATCGTGTATGCTCCCGTGCCATAGTGGCTGGTGGCACTTCCTTTGTGACAGAAAACTGAGGTACTTCTCATTATAAAAAGTTTCTTATGTGTATATAATAGATCTGACTTTATTTACCAGTTTGGCTATCAAAAACAACACATAATTCCTCTCTCTCTCTCTCTCTCTCTCTCTCTCTCTCTCTCTCTCTCTCTCTCTCTCCCTCTCTCTTCCTCTCCTCTCCTCTCCTCTCCTTCTCCCTCTCCCTCTCTCTCTTTCCTCCAGAGAGTCCCTCTGCCTGAAGCTTTCCAAACATTCAAAGTTTAGTCCATAAGGAGTCTGGGCCATCACTTCAGTGTCCTTGCTCCCAGGTCATAGAGTGACTCACATGTACAACAGTCACGTGAAGGTGGGAGGGGCCCACAGACCCTGGTGGGATTCCATCCTAATATGCCACACCAGTCTGACTCCACGACAGTCTCGGGCCCCCAGTCAGCCAGGTCCCGCCTGCATGGCGCACTGCCTTGTTGGTGCTCCTCCCAAATACCGGACTCCCATGGGTCTCCCTTGAGCCAGCAGACTTGGTCAATATTCTCAGCTCCCGAGCTGCAGAAGTTCATTACGCAAAGGGTTTGAACTCCTTCCCACAACTGTCTTGCCAAAGGAAAGGGAGCTTTGATTAGGGTCCCAAGTCATTTGTTCTACCTCCCTCTACCCAAGGACAGCACAGGTACCTCCATTTGTGTCTTTAAAAGACTTAAAATCATGAGAGGAAACTGTGCTTTGAAATGATTCACTTCACTCGTAGAAGACTCAGGCACAGAACTGTGGTCCTTATACTTGCATAGCCAGGATTTGACCCACTGAACCCAGACCTGCTGATCCCAAGGGTTTTGACCCAGACACCTGCTAGAAGAGGGTAGCTTTCTTGGTCACCAGAAAGAGACCAACTATATGACTTAAATAATTTTTTCTATAATAGTTTGACACAGTTTTTTAAATTTCTTGGAGCCAAATTTGAATAGATCATAGGAAACTTTCCCTTGAGGTTGGCTGAATACCAATATAATTTGAAAGCAATTAAATTTTATCCAAGAAATTGTTCAGTACTTAGAAATGAGCCAGGCCAAAAGGAAGTAGAACAAGAGTATCAAGAAGATGTAGGACTTGGGACCATCTCTAAAACTTTCCTGAGTTCCACCAAACCACTGACTGCAGTTTCAGTGGTGAAAAATGTCGCACCTTTCAGAAACAGAATTTTCTTTCAACCCTGAAACAGCATTTCCAAATGGACTTGCCTGTATAGTCCGAGAGGTACAGCCCTGAGGATGCCATATTGAAGCATCTGCATGGGACACAGGATGAGATGTCACACTTAAAATGCTTTCTTCTATTTTGTTTTTGTCTTTCTTAAAAATGTTTGAAGGGTCAGCCACATCTCCACCTCGCTTTATTAGTGAATGGCAGGTGGGGTGCCATCCAAAACGCTGCAGGCCGTGATGCTAGACAGAAAGGACAACATAAAAACTGACAATAAAGACGTGGTGCACAGCCTTAAAGCCCCATCTCACTGTTGCTGAGCTACACCTCCTCTGTTCCATAGTTCAAGATAGTATCTATTCAATTAATATAGGTTACTTCTGTCATTTAAATGTTTGCCTTATTGCTATATCCCAAGAGAAGTGTGTGCACAAAATTCTCAAGAAAATAGATTTTCTGAGCGCCAATTTTTGTAAGTACCTTCTCGGGGTTACGTTGCTGTAGTTAAGCCTTGAAAATCATTAATCATTCCTTACCAATTAACCACTTCTAATTAACTACATAAAATAGAGAAATAAAGTGGAGAAATAAGATTTCAGAGTAATGACTGCAATAAGGGAATAACTGGGATTACTCCAAATTTCTTTTCATTTTAACAAACAGTCCCTTTTATTTTATGCATGTTAATTACACAGATTGGCGAGTTAATTCTGACACTGTTGTACCTGCGGATAAAGGATTTGGAGCATGTTCACCCCTCTATTACCCTTTCGCCTCCAACTATCTTCTTCCCCTTCCACATTCCCAAGTCTACTTCCTTGACTCATGTCCTTCCTCCTGGCCCCAGATGCCACAGATGAAAGAAATCAATCCTGGGACACTTTCCTTTGGAAAGCCGCCTTATTGTGCTTAACATGGTGGTCTTCGATTCCAGTCATTTTCAGGCAAATGGAAAAACTGTATTCTTCTTTGTGGCTGAATAAAACTTCAGTGTGCATATATACTATCTCTTCTCATGCATTCCTTCATAATGATATTTAAAGGAGACTTTTTAAAAATGTGCTTACTCACTTGAAAAAAAATTCAAAGGGGAACTGCTCACATAATATTTAAAATAATTTACTATATTAAGTCATAGAAAACTATATCCGCAAGAGCCATGTGAGACTTTTGGACTTAAAACAAAACCCCAGAAAGTGTTGTATTTAACAAAATCTCCATCGTTCTATTTTACCAATAAAGACTAAGGAGTTGGCCAGGCAGTGGTGGAGCACGCCTTTAATCCCAGCACTCAGGAGGCAGAGGCAGGCAGGTCTCTGTGAGTTCGAGGCCAGCCTGGTCTACAGAGCTAGTTCCAGGACAGGCACCAATAACTAGAGAGAAGCCCTGTCTTGAAAAAAAAAAAAAAAAGACTCAGGAGCCATATACTAGGGTGAGAGCCTGCTAGCTCAGAAAGGCAAAGAAAGCGGACATCGCTGAAGCCTGCCCTCTTCTGCTATGCCTTCTAAAGAAAAATATTAAAAAAAAAAAACTCCACCCAAATATCTCTCCTTTCTACTTCCTGTTCGTCTCTCTCTCCACACGTCTAACTGACAATTGGGTTCAACATAAAAGTGCAAATTGGAGAGAACACATTGAAGTGAGTGAACACGTACAAGTATCATTTCAGGATCTATAACCGCTGCTGAAAATGCTCAAGGGAAGCTCACTACAGTAAATGTCCTGATTTAAAACAGAAAAATCTCAAATAAATAACTTGATCTTAGCCCTTAAGATAATGGAAAGAGCAAAGCTTAAATCCACAGCAAGCATCAAGTAACGAAGGAAAATAAAGATTACGACAAAAGCACAACAGAGAAAAACATCGAAATCAAACCTGGGTCCTTTGGAAGAATGAAGAGCATTGGCGAGCCGTCGGAGAGACTGAGCAACAACAAAAGGGTTCAGTGCTGCTGGCGCTTGCTGCCAAGCCTGACGACCTAAGTTCGATCCCATCCCCAGGATCCACACGGTGGAGAGAGTCCGTTCATCTACGTTGTTCCACATGCACACTGTGACATGCACATACCCACACACGTGCAAACACACACATTTTTTTTTCTTGGCCGACAAATCTTCTGAGATCAGTATCCCCTCACACACCACGCGGTTCATGAATGACCACACGCAGGTGTGAAAGCTCTATGGGAGGCACTTCAGTTTGTTGCCCTTACTCTAAACCTCCAGATTAGTGAAATTCACCTTATACTCCAGGTTAACGCCCACCTACACTTCTGCCCCAGAAGGCCCCCTCCAGCTGCAGGTCCCATGGCGTAACTTTTGATTTCCTTCCCCACGCACCATCAGAGTAATATAGATCTGATAACATTTGCTGACAGTTTTATTGATGAACAAATTAGACTTTCAAATCCATTTACACAAACACGCAAGTGTTTCTATTCTGAATCAATGGCAATTAGAGCTTGAAGGTGTTCTTTATACATGAAAATTGGTTGGGCTTAGTGGCACACACCTTTAATTCCAGCAGAGTCAGGTGGCTCTCTGAGAGATTAAGGCCAGTCTGATCGACGCAGGACAGTCAAGACTAGACAGTGAGAACTTTTCTCAAAATAAATAAATTAATTAAAAAGGAGAAAGAAAGAATATAAAGAGTATTAAGCCATGGACACTAATCTTAAGTGGTCATTTAAAAAGTACTCAGAAAATCAATTTGGTTGCTTTATGAAATTTTTACCTTGCACTATAGGATAAGCATGAGACAGCTAGATATCACTCTAGAAGTCAACTATATGAGTTTTTGTCATTATATTTTTCCACCTTATACATCGTGGGGTCAGATGGGTAGAGACTGCAGCAAGTATGAGACATGAAAACCAAGAACTCAAGTCCAAGTCCGTCCTGTTGGAGTGGAGACTCTGATGCCTACGCATGGTTGTGTCCCAGGCACTGATCTACCAAAGAAGCGCCAGGGGTGCTATCTGACTGAAACATGAAAGCCTTTAGACTGGTCCATTAATTATGACATCGCTGTAGCTATGGCTGAACACGTCTCATAATGCCAGCCTGGACAATGCAAAGGTTTAGATTGCAGGGTTGTTCTGTTTGTTTGTTGATTTAACTTATACTTTGCTATTTCAATTTTAGCAAATACTAAAAGGTGCCAAAAGAAAGCATCCAGAGCCTCTCTGTGCCTGGGAGGCCCTGCCTGGGGCTACTCTGCTGTGCCCACTGAGCCTTCTCATCTCCTTTCCTCAGGAGCATGGCTCTCGTCTTCCTCCTTGCCTGGGTCTCTACATTGAAGCAAAGTCTTCGTTGCTTCTGTTTTCTGGGAGACCTCTTGTACTGTTTCGTTTGTATTGTTTCCATTAATGCAGCCTCGACCAAACAGATCTAAAACCCCCGAAGAGGACCTTATTCTACCTACCACCAACAAGTCCCTCCAAACGAGACTGTTAGTGAAGCCCTTTGTTTTTTCAAGAAGTATAACCACCAATAACATTTATTTCTTAAGTTTTTGCTTTCTGTCAGTATCTCTCCTGCTGCACACCATTCCGTCACACTGAACTATGACTTTAGACGTGCTTAACGGCAGCCACTCTTAAAAACAGGATATGGTCCACCCTAGCTTACCTCAACACAGAAGTGCAACCTATAGAAGAAAGTATTTTGAAGACATACAAAGTGTACAATACTAAATTAATATAGTATACCACTGAATTCTATTTCGATTATGGAAAACGAAGCTATCCCTGTGCCCATCTTTCTTCCTATTTATCTCTTAAGCTATCCTTAACTTCGTAGAAGCCATAGTTTCAGATATGTTCCAGCTATATTAGATTCAAATAATTTCTTTAAAAATAATGTATAAAGTATTTCTGTATTAATTCCAAAATTGTTTTCTGTAATAAACCAGTTTGATATTAAATTTGGTGTGACTGTTAGAAAAAACACACAAGATAATTTTTACAACTCCTTCATGTTATATTTTGAAGTTCTAGGCTGTTGTAGACCAAAACTTTTATTTTGTTATCATGAATGACACTAGGTTGGGGATGGGCATGGTTTTTAATACAGACAGGAAATGAACAACTTGGCTCTGGAAACGCGGAGGGTTTCTTCTGTCTCATATCGATATATGGTACAGTCATATTAATAGGTCTGCAAACTACGTTCATTCTTTCTACACATAAGCAAGTAGCAGTATGTGCAAAAGTCTGAATACCAGAAGCTGTGGTGTGTGTGCACACACACTGAATTTCTTTACATTGAATAGCCACTTCTACTAGTTCATAACAGCGTGTATGCAGACAATGGTCACAGATGTCCACCAAAGCTGGAGCAGCTGAAGACGATGCAGGCTGGAGGGTTAAAACGAAGCTGCCACTCAGGAGTCTCCACTCCTCATCCAAAGGCTCCATGGGACCACTGTCTTCCTCCTTCAGGCAAGAGAATGAAGTAGTCAGATCGCGGGCACCCTGCCACAGCACACAGCCTTGCTAGAGTCCAAACATTAAACATGACAGAAAGTAGGAATTTTCAAGTATCGTTACAAACCTCTAAAATATCTTTGTAATTTTCCACCGTAATTTTACTTCTGTGTCAGAAATGAGTACAATGTCACAGCCACAGACACTGTCCAACAAATTTATATTTGGGCTATATTATAAATGAAATACTTACATGCCAGGTCTAACAAATAAAAATGAAACTTTAAATTGCTATCAGTTTTATATGCAATGATCACAGCTGGATAATAACCACTTCCTCCTGGTCCGAAAGCATCTTAAAGGTCCTACTAATTGCACAGTTAAATGCAGACTAACATATGGCACATTGTTTTTGTGGTATAACAATCCACAGGTTCCCCAATGTGGCGAATAAGTATGGCCCACAAAGGTTCACATGTTTGAATATTTGGTTCCCAGTTAGAGGAACTCTTTGGGAAGCATTAGGAGGTGTGTGGAGGTGTGCCACTGGGGGCAGGCTTTGAGGTCTTAAAAGCCCAGGCCATTCCTAGGACCTCTCTGCCTCATGGCTGTGTCTTAAGATGTAAGATCTTAGCTCCTGCTCTAGTGCCATGCCAGCCTGGCGGCTGCCATGCTCCCCACCATGATGACGTCGGCCCAGCATGCTACCTGACCAAAAGCAAATGCTCCAAGGAAGAGTGCACATGCGCTTGTGTGCACACTGCACACACACGTGTCTGTACACACTTAGGTACGGTAAAATGATAACATCAGGGCTTCCCATTTTACTTTTGTATTTCTGTGAAAATTACACTGAGGCCATTTAACCAATTAAATAAGTAAAAGTGTTTACTATGAAGACTGCCTGTCTTTCTTCTCTCTCACATGTCAGCAACTTTCTAATCAATTCTTTCCGCGGATGATTTTATGAACATCACATGGTCCTCAGCACGCCTTCCAATTTGCTTAGGTATTAGGTGTTGTCTGTCCCAGTGGCATGGGACGATCTGAAGTTCTTTCCCCTAGTCAGCCCCTCCACGCCCACCACACCACCCAAGACAAGTGTATCAATCCTAACTACCATCCCACCCTGCAAATATATTTTTCCTGTAATTTTACTTGAATCAATTATTTATATTACAGTAATGACAAATAATATTCAGAATGAAACTATGGATTTCACTTAATTGTTTTTCTTTCTTGCATGTTGTTTGATCTGAGTTAAATGAGAATCTTAGACTTTTTCATAATTAATTCAATTACTACCTACCAATCCAATACTACCTACCAATTATCCTACTTGTTCAAGAAGTGAAGACATCTCTTGTGGCTTGGCAGAGTGGAAGACACCTTTAATCCAGCACTTATGAGACCATAGGCAGGTCTCCTTGAGTTCAAGACAGGTCTGACCTACATAGCAAGTTCAAATCCTGCCAGGCTATACAGTGAGCCCCTGTCTTTGCATTTGCATCTTTGCAGAAACCTCTTTAGAAGCCCACATCCAATTCAGCCACTTCTGCACTGACTAGCATTTGTATCCGGGATCCTACTCCACTGCTGTCCTAGGTGTTTCCCTTGTGGGTCAGCTGGGAAGTAGACTGTCTTTTTGACACTGCACTAGAGACTGGGTGGGGAGGAAGAGACCAGAGACGGTGAGTTCTCAGGAAGTGGCCCCTCCACCCTATTCTAGCAAGGGAGGCTAATTCCTATTATCAACTGTTTTGAGTCCTCTCCACAAGGTAAGTACTTCCAGGCATCTCCCAGTTAAAGTGTACTGCTTCTCAAACGGCATTCAACCAACACAGACAGCACTGGCTTCTTTGCCTTCCAAGGTCCAGAAAAATCTGTTGCAAATTTCTCGAACTCTGCGAGCCCATCACAGAAAAATCTGCCCCCTCAATCACTGTGCTTGCCAGTTTCTAAGGTACTTTGTCTGTCCTCTTGCTTTCTCGTCCTTGTGAGTTTGTACATTTAACAAAGTTCCCTTTTCTGTTATTTTAATGTGATTTGTGGTAAAGACAAAATTGTCAATGCTCAATCAGTGGTCGGGACTGGTGACAAACATTCCTTTTGATGCATTCTGTGTATTTTCCTAAACTCTTTCTGAGAACCATGTCATCGGGTCATCAGAACATGAATCTGTTTGATAAAACAATCTAAAGAAAGGACAAATTAACCGAGGTAATCAGTCTCCCATTCTCCTCTCTGGGATGTCTTCCAAGTGCCCATTTGTCTAAATATAAACAGGAAAGCTTAAATGTAGAGGGAATTTTCTGTTCTGCAGTGAGTATTATTCACAACAATAACCTTGAAGCATGACCACATTCTAAAGAGTCTGTTAAATCACCAATTCTTTTTAATATAATTATAACAGATGTTATCTTTCATATGCCTATTTTGAACCTTAATTTGTCTTCTATGGAGGGACCCCAGGGAATGCATTCAATTCAGATCCCTTTAAAGAATTTCCTGAAAAGCTGCCAACCATACAAGCGCACGTGTGCGCGCATCCTGCCCCCTCAGAGACCGCAAAGGTCAGAGGCTGATGTCACGGACAAGAAATCTGATTCCGCTAACTTGACTATCTACTACAGTATCCCTTTGAAACACATGAGCAGGGCCCACAGAATCAACTAAGCAGAACTCATAGGGGCTCACGGAGCCTGAACTAACAACCAGGAAGCCTATAGGAGTCTGAACTAGGTCCTCTGCACAGATATTATGATCGTGTAGCTTGATGTCCTTGTGGAACGATGTCGGCAATTACAATAAAGTAGTCCCACACTAGCTCAGAATGGAGTATAATAAAGGACTCTTTATTTAGAGGTAGACTCACAGATCAGCGGTCCTCTGCATGAGCGGTGAACAGGAACCCACGCCTCTATGTCTGCATATGTAGTACCCAAGACCACACCCAAAGTGGGCCATCATCTCAAAGGCCATTGGCTGAAGGAGTTCCCCCAGCAGAACTCCTAACAGGGAGTGGTGGCTGTCTCTGACTCTTCTGCCTGTTTTGGGGACCCTTTTCCTCCTACTCATCTCATCCAGCCTTGGTATTATTGTAATTCGTTAAGTCATGTTTGGTTGATACTCTTGGGAAACGGAAGAGGAGTGGATCTGGGGAAGAGGGAAAGAAGGGGTGGGTCTGGGAGGGAAGGAGGGGGGAAACTGCGTGGGGATGTAATGTATGAGGGAAGAATGAGCAAACAAACAATAACAGTGATATGGGCTAGAGATGGCTCAGCACTCAAGGGCACTGGCTCTTGCAGAGGACCTGGGTTTGCTTCCAGAACCCAGAACGAACATGGTGGCTCATAAGCATTCCAAGCTTCAGTTCAGGGAATCCAAATTCCTCTTCTGACATCCAAAGTATCAGGGACACACATAGTACACACACAGACATGTAGGCTAAACACTCGAGCACATACAATGAAAGCTAAAAAAAAAAAAAAAAAAAAAAACTTTAACTTAAAAAAAGGAAAAAAAAAGAAATATTGATGTGCTAAACAATATTGATTGTTTTTAAACTGGGCTGGCTGTTTCCCAGGTACTTGGGGTGGGCTGGCCGTTTTCACAGGCACTAGAGGCACACCCTTGGGGTGGGCTGGCCGTTTTCACAGGCACTAGAGGCACACCCTTGGGGTGGGCTGGCTGTTTTCCCAGGCACTAGTGACACATCCTTGGGGGTGGGTCGACCATTTTCCCGGGCACTAATAGTGCATCATTGGGGCAGGTTGCACAAGTTCCCTTAACTCGGACTTAGCTATGAGCCTTAGGCTGAAAGCTACTGAAGACAGCTCAGAACAGTCACACACACACACACACACACACACACACACACACACACAAAAGAGGTAGAAATTCAATGTGATTCAATTATAACCAAGGGCACGTAACAAGTTACTTACTGTTCCCACATAGCCACTATTTCCAGAAAGGAAAACAAAGAAACACCAAAGAAGAGAAAGGGAGAGAGACCAGGAGCAACAGTTGTTCTTGAATATTCCAAGGAAAGATAAGAGAGACGCCTCTGGGCTTGGAGATCCAAGTATCAGAAATAAGTACAGCAGTCACCACAGTGAAGTATTTAAAGTTCACAGACGTACTCATTGGTGCAATGAGGGAAGAATTATTCACATTAGAAATACATCAGTTACTATTGACAGATGCTACTGTGGTTTAGCTAGCAAACTCAAAATAAGCAAATGAAAGTCATTGCAGCTATATGAAAGGACCGTTAGAATATCAGGGACCAGCCTCATGCATCATGTTTCCCACAAAACATTAATATGAAAATAAAGTAGAAAAAGAGGGTGGTCAATACGGACCACCACAGCCGTAACAGCAACAGGGAGTACTTGTGCTTCGTGAATGCTAACCGTCTGCTTGACATCACCTCATGAGTCCTTGAACAGCTCTGGGAATCTCATAAAAGTAAAGAGGAACCAGAGCTAGACATGTGGCTAGTTGGGGCATGAGCTGACACAACTCTTGAGAACAGTAATGTTTTTTCAGAGTTAAAATAAAACTCTGATAACTGCATTACTAAGGGTATTTTAAGGAAATTCATCAATAACCAACCCATAGTAGAGTTGATTATAGAAGAACACTGGAAATGACCAAAGTATAAATAAGTTTCATAACGGTTAAAAAGTAGCATGCCAGAGATGGAGAGATTACATGGTGGTCAACGCCCAAAGGATCTGGGTTCAGTTCCAAGTACCCACTGGGCAGCTCACAAACAGCTTTGACTCCAGTTCCAGAGGCATTCAACAATGAACACCAGGCATGCACATGGTACACACCTACATACACATACACACATAAAATAAATAAATCTTTAAAATTAAAAAAAAATGACCTATGTTTAACAAACACTTAACAGTATGACCTACAAGAAGACATAGCATCAAGTCAGCAGATGGCATACACGGAATAACTCCATATGGATCACCACATACATGTAAACA